AGTTGTGTAGTGTAGACGGAGATCGTTTCTGAAACGCAGCGGAAACGGCAGTGTAGATGAGGATCGTTTTCATTTTAAAACGCCGTTTTAAAACAAAAATGCACTAGTGTAAATGGGGCCTTAATCTACGAGTCGCTAAAGTAGTTTCCATGGAGACAGCGCCCTGAAGGTTACAGCTAAATCTGAGAGAAATATCATTAGCTCTAACCATGTGTTAAGACCCTTGAGAGCGACTGGTGATAAAACATCCACTTGTCTTCGCAAATTTAGGACGTCTCGCACTCAAGTTCTCAACTTTGGTGTGAACCGTGCTGACACAATGACTACCTGCTTAAAACCTGAGTGAAATCTGAAACTTACTGGGTTCCTTCAAACGCAGCTGGATGGCCGGGTTGTCGTTCTTCTCTCTTTTCAGTCCCAACACGTTTCTTTCCCACTCTCTCTCTCTGGCATCTTCCTCTATCTGTTTTTCCGCCTGCGCGTAGATCCGTAGCAGTCGGGAGCACAGGATCTGATGCAGCCGCAGAAAGATGTACCAGTTATTGTTGACATAGAAGAGGTTGTAGGCATCGTCACAGTTACTCAGCTTCTGCTGGGTAGCTGCTGTATGGCTGAAGAGGAGCTTAGACTTTGTTGATGTCGTCCCATTGTGCTTTTTAGTCCCGTCTTCGTCTGGTTCGGTCTCCTCTTCATCCTCCTCCTCCACATCAGAAAGCTCACCGCGTCGGATGAACAGCATGTCGGGGATGAAATGGTATATGATCTGTTTGATTTTGTACTTGTCGTCTTTGTGGATGCCGGACTGCCTCTTGACGTGGTGGATGATGAGAGCAGCCGCGTCTTCCAGGATCTGGCTGTCATCGTACATGAAGGTCATGTGAGGGCCTGAGGGAGGGGCGGCATTGTCATCTGAAGCCTGCTCTTGCCGCTAAGTGGATGAAAAGGCCATTATGTGCAACCAGACAACATTTAAAATATTTTGCATTTTTGGATTCAAAATGTACATTTGGAACGTTTCATACCTCATCATAAAGAGTCTCGATTTCATTGAGCAGCATCTTGGAGCGAAACACCTTTGTGTCGTTCTGTTTGAAGTTAATACCTTGGTGATCTAAAGACTTCAGGTAATACTTCTCATTCTGTTCCCTCCAGATCTTATTGAAGCCACGCTGAGCCTCTCGCCACTCTTCTTCTTTAGTTTTCAGCCTAAGAAGACAAACATAATGAATTCTGTGAGGAAAACCTGAAATGAAAAGAACTGTTTAAAACAGAGCTCTCTCTATCCGAAAAAAAAGTATTTGAGATGGTTAGAAAACACAATGATGCTATTGGATAGCAATAATATGGTAAATTACTTGGGTACTAGGACTGCATTTGTTTGTTTGTTTGCAATTTAACATTGGCTAGATATTAGTGATTAAATAACAAAAGCCATAAACAACACATAGAAATCACACAATGTTTAACAAGGTGTGAAAACATGTTTTGGCCAAATTCTGCTGCCAACAAAAAGAGTAAAAGTTACTCTATAAGAGCATTCATATTTATTTTTTCGTTAAAAGAGCAAAATTCAGACGTCCTTTAGTTGACCCAAATGTGAAACATAATATGGTTCTTTTTGCATTCACATTAAAGTCTCTAGTTTCAGAAACTAAAATATATTTGTAGCTATCAGTTCTTCCTTCAAATAAAGTCAGGATATATGCAGGCTTTTAAAATCAAAAGTAAAACTTTTCAAGGCCTTTTTAAGACCTTCACAAATAAAATGAATATCATATGAGCAGGGTAGGACAATATCTATGGTAACATATGGGAAAATGGCCGTAAAAAGCATGATTTACAGTTCAGATAAAGGTTTTCACAAAAACAAAATTTTATAAAATGGTAAACTTTACAATTCAGCCTTTACATTTTTTTTTAAGAAACGGGATGTCAAAAGTATCAAATATTATATTATTTAAACAATTATCAATTGTTATATTAATCAAATAGCATAACATATAAATATATAGCTTAGTCTTAATGGTTTAGATTTGTATAATGCATTCGCTTTGAGTTTGCTGCATAAAAATATGGGTAGATTTTCACAATGGTCTGAACAAAAACAGCAGAGGGGCTGATTGAAAATGCACATTTATTCTCTGCGGGTCCTTAAAAAGTATTTTGAATTTTTGAAATTTTCTTTCCGTCCCCAAATTTAAGACCTCTTGAAATCATAATTAAGA